AGGGGGGAATGAGGGGGGGAGGAGAGGCAAGGAGGGAGGGTTGAAGGGAAGAGATAAAAAGAGAAGGGAAAGGAAGGCAAGATATGGGAGGGTAGGGGGTAGGGGGGTAGGGGTATCCTTAATTCTAATCATGGCAACCCTAGGGACGGTCGACGGGCGTGGAGGTGCCAATGGCAACCCCCCAGAAGCGACCCCTCGACCACCCACACAATGGCAACGCGCGCCCAAAACGACCATGGAGATGGCATATAACAAAAATATTCGAGTGTAAGAGAAAAAAAAACACATTTTTTTTCCAAAATGTCCCAAGCTATATCAAGAAAAAGTGTAATAATTATAACAATAATGAAGATAATAACTGCGCCCGGTCCTTTCTCCCCGGACCAGCGAGCGTGGCCAAACAGGTCGGTTTCCACGGAACCGACGCGTTGCAACGACGAGCGACCGCCTGCCCAAGGGAACCAACTCGTCCTTGTTAAACCTAAAGATTTGCATTCTTCTTATATACACGAAAAAGATTATAAAGTGAAAAAACTCCTTTATTAATGATCAAATATATATCCTTTCAATAACAACAAAAAGTGATTAATCTACAGCAGCACCGACAAGGCCCCCCGTCGGGCCCCGGTCCCCGCCCCCTCCCCTTCCCTGGCGTGGGGAAGGGAGGGGGCGTGGTCCGGGGAGGACGAAAGGGGGTGGGGTGTTCCCTCTGCCAAGCTCCGCCCTCCGGAAACTACAATATGTCTAGATCACAAATGAATCACGCCAATGGATATTTACACATTTACAGGCCGGCCGCCGCGGGGGGGGGCGACCGAAAAGGTACATAAGTGACCAAACCCTTACTGCTAAATAGAAATATCTACACGCGACAAAATCTCCTTTGATTTCAGACGAATAATTACAGTAGCACTGATGATAATCATAATTATTAATTAATAATGATAATAATAATACCACGTAAGTAAAACAAGTATATACAAACAGCGAACTTGCTTACAGAAAGACCCTTTGGATCCTACTGAGTGTGGGCGGAGCCGCGCCGCCGCCGGCCCGTAGGAAGGCATGAGGCCCCGCGCGGGCGCCGCCGGGGCCTCGGCCGAAGGGACCCGCTGCCCGGAGCCAATGCCCGGCACGAAGCCTCTCGGCCACACGCAACACTCGGCGTTCGCGGCGGAGGCGGAGGCGGCTTCCGTCACTGCGCACCGAGACCCTTCTGCAGGCACCACTGTGGTCGGGGAGAGGGGGGGGACGGCGTCGCGCCCCCCTCTCGCTAGGCCTACCAGCTACGAAGTGACTAATTACAGACGAACACCTAGGCGACGACGCAGTTAGTGTCTACTCTGCAGCGCCTGCAGCCGCCGCCGCAGCTCGCTCTCGTATCTCCTGAGGCGCTCCTTCTCTTGCACGAGGCTCTGCTCGCGCTGCAGCATCTCCCGGCAGTGCTCCGACGCCTTCTTCAGGATCTCCACCTTGGGCGCCTTCTCGCGGTCCTGCAGGTCGGGCACGCGCACGCGCAGCTCCTCGAAGGCGTTGCGCAGGTCCACGCGCCGCATGCGCTCCAGCGAGTTGTGCAGATGCCGCTTCTCGGGGTCGTCGCAGTCGGAGCGGGGCGAGCCGCGCTTGCGCCCCAGCGCGCCGCGCTCGTGCAGCCGCTTCGGAGTCTTGTGGTGCGCGTCGGCGCCCGACGACGCGGCCGCCCGCCTCAGGTGCGCCGCGCTGCCGGAGCCGCGCCGCTTCACGCCCGCTGCCATGGCGTGCTGCAGCTGCTTGCGCATGCGCCGCGAGGGGTTGGTGGGCAGCGAGCCCGTGCGGATCTTGACCACCTTCTTGACGGCCACCTCGGCGCTCACCGCCAGGCGCCGCTTCCTGCCGCTGCTGCTTCTCTGCGTCGTCGCCTGGGCGCTCTCCGAACTGCCCACGCTCACCACGTCGATCTCGTCCTCTGCAACGCCAAAGAAAAACTTCGTTAGTCACGACGCCTCACCAGAGCAAAGCCGTAATAAAGCCATCCAAAAGATACAGCCAAACCCTACTCAGGCGGCCCTCCCTTCCCCGAAAGCACATTACCATAGAACCCACCCGCCCCCGGCCCGCCCCCGGCCCGCCCCTCCTCTTCCCTTGACCTTGAAACGACGCGGAGGTCAAGGTTACACGCCGAGCGCCGCCGCCGCCGCCGCGGCATACGACGCCTTAGGCCTATCCGTCCCGACCAACCCATCCGGCAGCCGATGACGATGCCCCATCCGTGCTGTTTGGTGCGCGCGATATCATGTGTCGGCTTATTTACTCAACATATGATGGCACACCTGTCTGTCATCGGCGAGGGATCGAACTGGTGGAGAAAGGAAGAAAGGAAGAAGGAAGAAGGAAGAAGGAGGGAGGAAGGAAGTTAGGAGGAGGAAGAAGGAAGAGGCAAGCGGAAGAGAGAGAAAAGAAGAGCGATACGGAGAAGGAGGAGTTGTCAGTCTAGTACTCCCGCACCCACAATGTTTCGCCCTCTGCTAGCAGCGCTGCTCCCCCTCCCCCTCCCCCCATCTCTCTCTCTCTCTCTCTCTCTCTCTCTCTCTCTCTCTCTCTCTCTCTCTCTCTCTCTCTCTTCTCGCGAGCTTTCGAGGGCAACCAGACGCCTGTATCGATTGTGGAACCAACCAACCAACCAACCAACCCCACACACACACACACACACACACACACACACACACACACACACACACACACACACACACACACACACACACAGAAAAGGGGGCGTATGCTATAACCCCCCCTCCCCCTTCCCCCCTTGCAGACAACGCTTCTACTAACAGAGTAATTATGACGCCGACCAGATAAAAAAAAGGGCCGGCGGAAACAAGTCAATAAATGATACAAGGGGAAAAAAAAACAATGGATGAAACCAATAAAAAGTAGCTTAGAGAATAAGCAAGGAAGGAGGGAGGGAGGGAAGGAGGGAGAGAGGGGGAGAGGAAAGGAGGGAAGGAGGGGCGGAAGGAGGAAGGGAGGGAGAGAAGGAGGGAAGGGAGGAAGGGAGGAAGGGAGGATGGGAGGGAGGGAGGGAGGGGGAGAGGGAAGGAGGGAAGGAGGGGCGGAAGGAGGGAGGGAGGGAGAGAGGGAGGGAAGGGAGGAAGGGAGGATGGGAGGGAGGGAGGGAGGGAGGGAGGGAGGGAGGGAGGGAGCGAGTAGGCGGGATCTGCAATAACATGTCGCAGAACAAGAGTACAGTCGAGGCAGGCAGGCGGAGGAGGAGGAGGAGGAGGAGGAGGAGGAGGAGGAGAAGCGGGAGGGGGGGGGGAGGGACTGATGAAAAGAGAGGAGGAAGGAGCAGGAAGAGAGAGAGAGAGGGAGAGGGAAAGGAGGGAGGGAGGGAGGGAGGGAGTACGCGCCCTTAACCTTGATACAGAAACCGCTTCCAACAGGGCAACCTGGATCGCTGCTCGAGGGGGAGCCTAGGCCTACAGACTTAGGGCGAGGCGGCAGGCCCGTCGCCCCCTCCGCCGGCTCGTTTTATTGTTCCTCCCTGTCCATCATAGCATCACCACCCTCGCCTCCACGCCCCCCCCCTTCTACTATCCTTCATGTACTCCCCCCTCTTCCCTCTCCCGGCCTGCCCTTCCGTGCCAGTGCCACGTCCTCGGCCATCAAAACCGCCGAGGAGGGAGAAACGAAATTCGTGATTAGGCCTAGCGAATCGGCTGCTCGCACGTGACTCGAATCATCCCCGCTCTCCAATCTCTCCCCTCTAACCCCCCCCTCCCCTCCCTCTTTTCCTCTCCTCCGTACCTACCTACCTTCCTTCTCTGCCTACGCCCCCCCTCCTCTCCCCCCACTTCGTCTCCTTCGCCAGCGCAATAAATCCGTCTATACTTTTCAAATTGCCTGCCCCCCCCCCCTCTTCCCCTCCGCCGGCGCCCCCCTCCCCTCCCCTCCCCTCCGCCTCCCTCTGCCAAGCCCTTTCGACCGTCTTGTCCACCGCCCTCTCTCCCCTCACCTCCCCTCTCTCTCTAAGTTTATCGCACCTAACGTTCCCCGCCTCTCTCTCTCTCTCTCTCTCTCTCTCTCTCTCTCTCTCTCTTTTCCCCTCGTGTGCGCCAGTCTGCCAACTCAAGGTCACGAAACCCCTCGTCCCTTCCCCTCTCTCTATAAACTAAGGGAAGCAAGAGTGTGGGGGTGAGGGGAAGGGGAAAAGGGGAAAAAAGGGGTGAGGAAGAAAAAAAAAAGTCAACCATGAAAGACGAGAGGAAACAAGCAAAAAAAGGAGGTGTTAAAGAAAGCCCTCCATCCATCTATCTATCTATCTATATCTATCTATCTATCGATCTACTATGGAGACGCCATATGAAAGTCGAAGATAAAATAAGACTACCACCAAGCGTCTGGCTGACGTCTGCCCTTCTAGCCCTTCCTGCCCTTCCTGCCCCCCTCCCCCCCCCTCCCCGCCGCCTCCGCCCCTTTCCCGTTCCTCCCCTTCGCGTGACACCGAAAAAAGCGGAGAGGGGAGAGAGAGCTCGAGAAGAAGGGAGAGACCGAGGGAGAGAGAGAGAGAGAGAAAGAGGATAGGGAGGGAGGGAGAGAGAGAGAGAGGATGATAGAGAGAGGATAGGGAGGGAGAGGGAGGGAGGGAGGGAGGGAGGGAGGGAGGGAGGGAGGGAGGGAGAGAGAGAGAGGGGAGGGGCGAGGCGAGACCCCGCCAGACGTTTCATACTGTTGGACGAGCCATAGCAAGGGAAAGGAGAGGGGAGGAGAGGGGAGGGGAGGGGAGGGGAGGAGGAGACCGAGAAGGGGTGAGGGGCAGAGGAAAGAAGAGAGCGGAGGAGCGGCGGGGAGAGTAGAGAGCTTCTAAGAAAGAGAGCGAGAGAATAGAGGGTGAAGGCGGGGGGCGGAGGGTGAGGGGAGGGGAGGGGAGGGGAGGGGTGCTGAGAACGAAGAGAGGTCCACACTCAGATAGGCTCGGGCTCTCGGGGTAAAAGAGGCGGGAGGAGGGACGCGGCAGGCGGAGGAGGAGGAGGAGGAGGAGGAGGAACAGGAGGAGAAAGGGAGACGAGGGAGTGGAGGCGGAGGGAAAGGAGGAGGAAGAAGTGAGTATGTGCTGGAGGAGAGACACGAAAGGAGGAGGAGGAAGAGAGACACGAAAGGAGGAGGAGGAGACTGTAAAGAATCTCGAGGCATTTATATTCTTCCCGCGCCTCCAAAACTCCCTTTTACGGGTCTCTCCCTCTTATAAATTCCCTTTCCTTTCCCTTCCCCCTTCTCCTTCCCTCTCTTTTTTTTTCCTAAACTCTCTCTCTCTCTCTCTCTCTCAGAGGCCTCCCCCCCCCTCTCTCTCTCTCTCTCTCTCTCTCTCTCTCTCTCTCTCTCTCTCTCTCTCTCTCTCTCTCTCTCTCTCTCTCAGAGGCCTCCCCCCCCCCCTCTCTCTCTCTCTCTCTCTCTCTCTCTCTCTCTCTCTCTCTCTCTCTCTCTCTTTCCCTCTCCCCCTCCTTCCCCAAACGGTCGAAGGAATAACGACACAGCGAAAAAGACGGAGATGGCATTCGAACAGAAAAAAAAGGAGAGGGAACAAAAGGGGAGGATAAAGACGGGGGGGGGGGGTTAAAAGGGGGGGGGATGGGAAGGGTGAAAAGCTTAAATTAACGGATGAGGGTATGCAGGGTTTGTGGGGGGGGGGGGGCGAGGATGCGCTCATGGAGTGGCCCTGTGTTGATATACGGGTTCGATTGGAATGGGCGCGTGCGGGGAGGGAAGGAGGGAGGGAGGGAGGGAGGGAGGGAAGACAGGGAGGGAAGGGGAAGGGAGGGAGGGAGGGAGGGAAGGCAGGGAGGGAGGGAGGGAAGGCAGGGAGGGAGGGAGGGAAGACAGGGAGGGAAGGAGAGAGGGGGAGAGAGAGCAAAAGATACGTCATATAAAAAAAACAAGAACTTCAAAACAAACAAACCAACAAACAAACAGCAGCAATAAAACACACACAATCACAAAACAAAACAAAAAAAACAAAGAAAATGACAAAAAGAAAAAAAAAATCTCGAGTTCATCGTCCATCCATAAAATCACTCCTTGGCCGGTTCTTCCCCGTCGATTATCAGGCACTTCCTGTGAGAGGCCTGCGTGCGTCTGCCATTCCCCCCCCCCCTCCCCCCTTAACCCCTTCCTCTTTTCTTTTGTCTATTTCTTCTTCTACCCCCTCCTCTTTTCTTTTTATCTATTTTCTTCTTATTCCCCATTCCTCTTTTCTTTTTATCTATTTTCTTCTTCTTCCTCCCCACCGTTCAGTAGTTGATGGATAGAGGAATAGATTGATAGATTGACTCGTAGAAAGAATCACACAGACAGACAGACAGACAGCAGAAAGCGTGATTGACAGGCGGGGGACATAAATCACCACCAACGAAAATAAAACAATTATAGCCAAACAACCAAAGAAACAAAAAGGCAGAGCAAACATCACAAACATATAACACGTCGATATCCCCCCCACCCACCCTTTCTTTCTCTCTCTCTCTCTCTCTCTCTCTCTCTCTCTCTCTCTCTCTATGTGTGTATGTGTATGTGTGTGTGTGTACGCGCGTGTGTGTGTGAAGTAATTCGCGTTAACAGGGTAATTCTCCCGCCAAAACTCATGCTCTGGTTTACACTTCCGGTTGCCAGATTTTACCTGTAGTGGGTCCCCCCTTCCCCTTCCCCCCTACCCCTTACCCCATACCCCCCCGTATCCCCACCTGTCACTTGAAGTAGCCCTCCCCTCCCCCTCCCCTCCCCCCCTCTCCTCCATGCCACCTGTCCAGCGCCGTCGCTCAGGGCTGGAAGCGATGACGTAAATCGATCAGTCGGAAATATGAGCAGATGAGGCGTAGAAGTGATGGGGAGGGGAAGGGGAGGGGAGGGGAAGGGGGGAAGGGGGGAAGGGGAGGGCAAGGGAGGGGAGAGGTTGGTAATCCGAGGGTGGGGGGA